TAGATGTAATCCGACACAACAGATGAACTCCAGTTTGTCGTTTTCTTGATAAAACAATGTAGTTTCACGACTACCCGTTTTACGTGAAGTGGCGGCGTAAAACTCGGTGAAAAACGCGATATTCGCGGTGATATGCAGTAGTCGAGAAATATGTTTTTCATATCACTAGGGTGGTGAAACTCCAATGCTTAGACCACACGTTTGCTCCCGACAAGAGTTTTATGTTGAGAATAGATATAAACACCATCACATTCCTTCTCACCCGATCTACCGTACTTGAAAATTTTCATCGAACACGATGATTTTCTAAACGTGCGACACAGAATTTATTTTTTATATTTATTTCAGATGTAGAAAAATACTACTGGAGTTTCATCACCCTAGTGATATGAAAAACACTAGTGGACTACAGGCCGCGAATATCGCGTTTTTCACAGAGTTTTACGCCACTTCACGTAAAACGGGTCGGGAAACTCCACTAAAACTACCGAGAGAAAAATGCCAGTAATATACGTATACTACTCACACTGAGTAATAAAAGTATATAAGAAAATAAAGTTTCACCACCCTAGTGATATGAAAAACACTAGTGAAAAACATACTTCACAACCACTGCATAGCACCACTAATACTAGGAGTTTATAGACAAATTAGAGTAGAAGTAACAGAAAACAATGAGAATTTCCCGAAATTTCCTCGCAGTTTTCATATTGTCACCAACACATGTAGTTAAGCATTGCATATTTTCCCATCACACTGTTGAATATGTGAAAAAAACTCATCACGAAAAAAATAAATTTTTCGTCTACTTACGTAACAAGAAGTATGTTTTCCGGTTTCAAATCGCAGTGAATAATCCCTTGAGTTTGCAAACAGACCAACGCTCGTAGTAGTTGATCCATAATCGACTTAATCATATTAATAGGTAACCCTCGGAAGGAATTCTGCAACGGAAATAATTACCCAACGATTATACCCATTTTCTCACCTGTTTTAAAACGTCATACAAGTTCATACTCAGTTGCTCGAAGACCTACAAAAAACTCATCTCGATAGGAGCCGCGCTCAAGAACGCTCATATACGTAGTTTCACGCTGATGATATTAAAAACACTAGTGAAAAACATATTTCACATTTTACTAGGCGGAAAACAAGTGTGTTATCGATCGCGAAAACATATTTACATGGAGTATTACGCCACTTCACGTTAAACGGGTGAAACTCCTATATTACGACATATCTTTTTTTCTGATAAAGATTCAAAATAGGTACGATTTTGACCATACATAGCAGTGTTGGAGTAGGGATATATGTTCGCTTTCCTTAGCTGAGCTCAGGAGTTTCCTATACAGTGTTGGAGTAGGAATATATGTTCGCTTTTCTTAGCTGAGCTCAGGAGTTTCCTATACAGTGTTGGAGTAGGAATATATGTTCGCTTTTCTTAGCTGAGCTCAGGAGTTTCCTATACAGTGTTGGAGTAGGAATATATGTTCGCTTTCCTTAGCTGAGCTCAGGAGTTTCCTATACAGTGTTGGAGTAGGAATATATGTTCGCTTTCCTTAGCTAAGCTCAGGAATTTCCTATACAGTGTTGGAGTAGGAATATATGTAATCGCTTTCCTCAGCTGAGCTCAGGAGCTTTCTCACTAATTATACAAGTTTGTAAACGAATTCGGGAAAAGTGTACAGAAACCATTGAAAAAAATTCAAAATTTTCCTCAGAATTTTCATACGAACACATATGCATATTTTCCCCCAACTGCATCGATTAATAAATTACTATGCATAGATGTTTTCTGTATACAAAATAATCCGTCATTTTCACTATGCGAGTGTCATAATATCGATTTAACAGTTGGAGAATTCGCACTTCAACCAAGGCTTGTTGAAAGTACCTTACAAGGAAAATGATTAAAAATGAAACTCCCTATTCTCTCTTCATTACGCTGGCTTATTCTTTATTATTTTCACAGCAAAACTGCGGTTATCGCAGGTCACGCAGCGGAGCACTTGACCAAAAGTTCCTGACCAAATACCCGCACAGGTTCGATCCCCGGTGGCCGCATTTTTCCTACCATGCCCGAGTCGATCGGCGATTTCGTAACCATACCCTTCGGGATTAGCAATAACGTCGTTAACCCGACATATAAAATCACCTTCTGCGTTATCGTAACCGTCATTTCTGCGAAACACACGAATGATCCTACCGATTCACTTTAGCTGCTGCCAACCTGCACGGCTCTATGAGCTTAGTAAATATCCTTCTTGGTGCGTACTGGTTACTATACTGATAACTACTATCACAATCTTGATAGGTCTGTGTTATCGCAGATCCCAAAGCTCGAGGTAACTGTGAAAATTCCTTGTGAAAACTCACCGAGAGTAAGAGCTTACTTCACTGATATGCGCTTCTGGTGGATTCGGTTTTACGATACTTGTAGTAGTACTTTTCGAAGCGTCATTTTCACTCTGAAAAACAATGGAGTTTCACCACCCTAGTGATATGAGAAACACTTGTGAAAAATATACTCCACAAATCACCGCGAATTTACGCCAAGTATTACGCCACTTCACGTAAAACGGATCGTGAAACTCCGATATGTTGCAATCTAAAATGTTTTATGAACATTTCCATGTGAGAAAATGTGCCCATGGTCAACTACATGTGTTGGTGATAATATGAAAATTCCGAGGAAAATTCGGGGAATTTTTTCATTGGTTTCTGTATATTTCTACCCGAATTCGTATATAAACTCCTATAATTAGTGAGGAAACTCTTCTGAGCTCAGCTGAGAAAAGCGAACTATATATTCCTACTCCAACACTGTATAGGAAACTCCTGAGCTCAGCTGAGGAAAGCGATTACATATATTCCTACTCCAACACTGTATAGGAAACTCCTGAGCTCAGCTGAGGAAAGCGATTGCATATATTCCTACTCCAACACTGTATAGGAAACTCCTGAGCTCAGCTGAGGAAAGCGAACATATATTCCTACTCCAACACTGTATAGGAAACTCTTGAGCTCAGCTGAGGAAAGCGAACATATATTCCTACTCCAACACTGTATAGGAAACTCCTGAGCTCAGCTGAGGAAAGCGATTGCATATATTCCTACTCCAACACTGTATAGGAAACTCCTGAGCTCAGCTGAGGAAAGCGAACATATATTCCTACTCCAACACTGTATAGGAAACTCCTGAGCTCAGCTGAGGAAAGCGAACATATATTCCTACTCCAACACTGTATAGGAAACTCTTGAGCTCAGCTGAGGAAAGCGAACATATATTCCTACTCCAACACTGTATAGGAAACTCCTGAGCTCAGCTGAGGAAAGCGAACATATATTCCTACTCCAACACTGTATAGGAAACTCCTGAGCTCAGGTGAGGAAAGCGAACATATATTCCTACTCCAACACTGTATAGGAAACTCCTGAGCTCAGGTGAGGAAAGCGAACATATATTCCTACTCCAACACTGTAGAGGAAACTCCTGAGCTCAGCTGAGGAAAGCGAACATATATTCCTACTCCAACACTGTATAGGAAACTCCTGAGCTCAGGTGAGGAAAGCGAACATATATTCCTACTCCAACACTGTATAGGAAACTCTTGAGCTCAGGTGAGGAAAGCGAACATATATTCCTACTCCAACACTGTATAGGAAACTCCTGAGCTCAGCTGAGGAAAGCGAACATATATTCCTACTCCAACACTGTATAGGAAACTCCTGAGCTCAGCTGAGGAAAGCGATTACATATATTCCTACTCCAACACTGTATAGGAAACTCCTGAGCTCAGCTGAGGGAAGCGATTACACATATTCCTACTCCAACACTGTATAGGAAACTCCTGAGCTCAGCCGAGGAAAGCGATTACATATATTCCTACTCCAACACTGTATAGGAAACTACAGAGCTCAGCTGAGGAAAGCGAACATATATTCCTACTCCAACACTGTATAGGAAACTCCTGAGCTCAGGTGAGGAAAGCGAACATATATTCCTACTCCAACACTGTATAGGAAACTCCTGAGCTCAGCTGAGGAAAGCGAACATATATTCCTACTCCAACACTGTATAGGAAACTCCTGAGCTCAGCTGAGGGAAGCGATTACATATATTCCTACTCCAACACTGTATAGGAAACTCCTGAGCTCAGCCGAGGAAACCGATTACATATATTCCTACTCCAACACTGTATAGGAAACTCCTGAGCTCAGCTGAGGGAAGCGATTACATATATTCCTACTCCAACACTGTATAGGAAACTCCTGAGCTCAGCTGAGGGAAGCGATTACATATATTCCTACTCCAACACTGTATAGGAAACTCCTGAGCTCAGCCGAGGAAAGCGATTACATATATTCCTACTCCAACACTGTATAGGGAACTACAGAGCTCAGCTGAGGAAAGCGAACATATATTCCTACTCCAACACTGTATAGGAAACTCCTGAGCTCAGCTGAGGGAAGCGATTACATATATTCCTACTCCAACACTGTATAGGAAACTCCTGAGCTCAGCCGAGGAAAGCGATTACATATATTCCTACTCCAACACTGTATAGGAAACTCCTGAGCTCAGCTGAGGAAAGCGAACATATATTCCTACTCCAACACTGTTTCCATGTTTTCCAATAACACTATTTCGTGTAGTGGAGGAATATGCAATACAATATCAAATCATGGGTCAATTTTCCAAGTCAACTGATCTCACAAAATTGTATTTTTTCCGAATGAAAAACAGAGTAAGAGCCTAGTCGCTAAAACACTAGCAGTAACAGCAGCTCGGATGCTGCTATGATGAGCTCGCAGTTTCTGGTAAATTATATGACGACTATGATGATTGTCATCCATTTTCATTTTCAAACGGAGTCCTCCCTTGTTTAGACACAAATGACATCTACTAGCCATATGCGAATCTGAGCGCTATGTGACCTTTATATATTCATTAATTCTGCTAAACAAGCTTTCACAAAGTCTTGTATTTTGTGTTACTCTCTAGTCATATATTAACCGTTATAGATTTATATACTTGATATCAAATAAACTGTGTATTATAAATGTGTTGAGTATAAATGGTATTACTATAAATATACCATAAAATCAATATAAATGTAATTAACGATATAAAATAACGTATTATATTTATAATTAAAACTGTCGGAACAATTACAAATATCATTCATCATGGTATTACCCCAAAGCGACATGTAACCTCCCGAAACCGTTCCAATGTCATTTCACCGTAGTTCCACATCTGGGGCCCTGTGAAAAGGCAATACAGTGGGAAGTAAACAGTTATGCATATGTAGATTTCCGAGATGCTTTCATACGACTATAGACTACGTAACGCTTCTAAAACGTTGGTGTCATCAATCGATTCACATTGTTATCATGTTGATATTACTCAAAGTTGACTTTCGAGGGCTAAGTTGAAAATACTACTTTGCATAACGGTTTGGTTCATCACACTGTAGTGAAAAACATATTTCACATTCAAGTCGGCGAAAAACGCATATGAGCTTTGAATAACGCGTGAAGCACGTGATATGGGGTCATTGGTTTCCGTGCTATTCACAACCGTTTGGTGCATCACATAAGAACGCCTATTATAGAAGTATACTCACCAGTGGGCGTCAGAGTAGCGACTGTAGCCATTACACCTCGAGAAAATGAACTGATATGAGACTAACTTAACAGCCACAAACCGTTTTAAGATGGGAAATATATTCCCTTCGTTTTGGCAAGTCGTTCAACAGTCGGAAATTTTCACTCTGAAACTGTGTAAATCAAAAATGTCAAAAATACATGTGTAAATCAACGGGCGAATATGCACAGGGAAAGTCAAAATTTTCATGTAAAATTTTTTCGTGGTCACTCAAGATTTTTTCAGACTGCAAAAATCAGTTTCCCATGGCCTGAATTCATCACTCAACAGATTTTTCGCAGAAGGGAAAAATATTTTATTTCTTCGAAAATTTTTTTACATTATTTCAATATATTTTATGACATTCAAGAAATTTACTTTTCGCATCCCTGAGAATTCCCTAAGGAAAAAAGACATTACCGCTTCAAAAAAGCAGTGCTGCAAAATATGTTCGCTTTCCTCAGCTGAGCTCAAAAATTTCCTCACTAATCACAGGAGTTTATATACGAATCGGGAGAAAAGTGTACAGAAACTAACAAAATTTTCTCAGAGTTTCGATATTGTCACCAACACATGTGGTTGATCATATGCAAATCTTACCGCACTGCAAAAAAGACACTACCCTAATTAAAATGACATTGAAACTATCTTTTTCCCGTTGAAAGCAACTTTTCGAAATTCAGCATTGTCAACCCTGCGAATGAACAAAATAATATCATCTAAATGATATAAACAACGAGTAAGGCACACGCACTGAACAACAGAGGTTGTAGTATAATGATGATAACATTTCTGAACTTCTCTAAGTGGGGGGGTGAATTATTCCGCCTGGTAAGCCGTGGATTTTTCCTGTAGGACCCGGGCGTGCTAAGGCCTCTCGTCTCGATTCCCTAGCTCGTTCAAGCTCATCGACATAAATGGATCCTCGTATGTGAATGCCAGACAAACTCAGGTGCCATTCTGAAGTGGAATCAATTCCCTACTAGAGGAGATATGACGATATGGAGAAAGCCATATACAGGGTGGCTGGCGCCCGTCCATTGACAATCCGATGCATCATAGACAGCGACATCGATCATAGAATGTGATGTTAATGAGAAAATGATTTCCGAGTGTATGAGTGAGACTATCAATGTAGATCGACTATGGCTGGCACACAATTTTGGAGTTTGGGACTTCATAAGGGGTCGTTTACGATTCAACTAATCATAGGATGTACAACACGTCGTATCTTACATGTACGTGTTAGTGTAGACTTTTTCGGAGACACCTGCACACAATCCTTGATACTTAGCCTGACCTTTAGCTAGCTACTTAGTCTTGCTATACACTGCTGTATTTACTAAGTTACTGGAAACTACATCGTTGTGTTTATCATGGCTTCTAAGACCGAGGCCAATCATTAGTACAAAGGTGGCGCATAGATCTAGGCGCATATATCCGAGTTTCTAATTGGCATATAAAGCAATTGATATTATTATTATTGGCATATGAAGCATAGTTGCTTGGCAGCAAAAAAGTGACTGCGAAAATAACAAGTTTTGTTATGCATTGCCGTTGCAGTTGTTGTTATTATTGTCCTTTATCGAGATGTCCACTGTGGAGGACTTCAGCAGAGAACTTGAAAACAAGTTAACTGCTGTTATGAGTGTTACTCCGGCGGTGAAAGAAAAATTAAGTAAGTCGAGTTCACTGAGATCACATACATGTACTCTCCAGAAAGTCGCGGGAAAATGCTCGCGCGTGATCGTTTGTCGCATCTGTGCGATCCGGACCCAGGCTCTGTGCTAGAGCTCAGCTCATTAGCTGCTGATGGACTCTACGACGGGCGGTTCCCTGGGGCGGGGCTGGTGACGGCGATAGCAAAAGTAGTTGTCGTCTGCTGGTCAGGAGGCCGGGGGTATATACGTGGTCAGGTATGCGGCATATGGTGCGCTGTTATTATTAATGAGGGCTCTACTATGGGGGGAACATGGACTGGTTTATCGTGCGAAAAGGTGAATATAGGAAGAGAGCGATTTCGATCGGTTCGCATTAAAGTGCGAAGTAAACAGTTATGCATATGTAGATTTCCGAGATGCTTTCATACGACTATACGCTTCTAAAACGTTGCTGTCATTAATCGATTCACATTGTTATCATTCAAAGTTGACTTTCGAGGGCTAAGTTGCATAACGGTTTGGTTCATCACACTGTACACGTCTCTTCAGGCGCTTCGTCTTCAGCAAATCGCTATGGAGCTCGGTCTGCCAGCACTGTAATAGAGCCGCTAGAAATTTTCCCTGGTTTTTTCTCAGCGTTGTTGTTACCTCAGATACATAGTTGATTCTGGTGGCGCATTTTTGCATACTCAAGCGGAATCCTTTCCCGAGAAATTCGGCCGCATTTTTAGCAACGAGGCGAAAATGTCTGTAGGTGTTGAGAATACATTGGAGTTTCACGGCTACCCTAGTGATATGAAAAACACTAGTGAGAAACATATTTCACGACTACTGCATATCACCGCGAATATCGCGTTTTTCACAGAGTATTACGACGCCACTTCACGTAAAACGGGTAGTCGTGAAACTCCAATGCTCTCTGCGTAGGCCCAGGGGTACCCTCAACTGGCTGCAGTAGTGGGTATGTCAACTGCAGGTGGAGCTTATGTAAGTCGTATACAGTATAGTTAACACGCATATCGATTACAATGGCGAGCGCGATGTTCATCAGAACACGTTGGTACTGTAATGACATGATTATTATGCGTTGATTCTTCGCTTATCGAATCGAAAGTCGATTCCGTCCTGCGGGGCGCATGAAAATACAAGTTAATTTGTTAACAAAAAAATAAAAAAATGTTAACAAAAAAGGAAAAAAAGTGTTAACAGATTCTCGTCACTAGAATGAGGATCAAGTATAAATTTTCTTATCGAGTGGCAGTAAGAACTCGATAAGCGCCGAAGCTCAGATCCCTGCGATGTGTGACGAGATTGTCATGTGCGAGACCAACGGCACGATCTACCTCGCTGGCCCTCCCTTAGTGAAAGCAGCAACAGGGGAAGTAGTCAGCGCACAAGATTTAGGAGGAGCTGTTGTTCATACTTTGGTCAGCGGTAGGGCAGTCGACTAGGGCTATGGATAAGCTCACTGGGAGCGCTCAGGAGTATCCGACCAGATTTCGCCCCTTCCTGAAGGGCACCAGGGAACGATCCCGGTTGAAGTAGAGAAAGCTGCTATTGATATGCTAAGGCATCTAACAGAGGCGCACTGTGGAAGATTTAGGAGTATTCAAACGATTACATTACCGTCTGTTGAGCGCGCCGTGGAGTTCCCAAAAGACGCGCGGCAGGTAGGAGAGATGTTTTCACGTTGTTAGGGTTGGAGGAATATATGTCGGCTTTCCTCACTGATTATAGGAGTTTATAAGAATTCGGGTAGAAGTTTACAAAAACCAATAAGAAATTGCCAAGATTCGCATATTGTCACCAACACATGTAGTTGAGCGTATGCATATTCCTCTTCCCCCTATACTGCGAATCATATTGATTCATGTGATCAGTTACTCGATCAAATGCTGGTTGGCGGTTGCCAAGACGGTTTCAGAGAGTTCATGCCCAGTGTCGGCACAGTGAGAAGAAAAATCATGTTTTTCTCATCGCATCGTCTAGTCGCTCCTCGTTGGTTTGGGCAGTTGGTGACGGTGGTGGCCACCTCGCTTTTATGCTCGGCTGCAAGGACGAGTTGTCCGCTGGAGATGCCCGGAAAGGGGTGACACCTGATAATTATTATATATATTTAACATAGAGAGATATATCCTATTGATAAAGTCTACTATTAACATGTTTATATTTTGCCATAAACAGGTGTATTTCCTGTTTACGGTTGAAATTGGAGTTTCACCCGTTTTACGTGAAGTGGCGTGATACTCTGTGAGAAACCCGATATTTTCGCGGTATGCAGTAGTCGTGAAATATATTTTTCACTAGTGGTTTTCATATCACGGGTGAGACTCCATTGTATTTTTGCAAAATTGTATGTAAAATCCAGAAAATGATTTCATCGAACCACCCGTATTAGAAGTCCCTCCGGGGAGTGTGAGGTTTTCTGTTGTTGTTGTTGTTGTTGTTGCTGTTGTTGTTGTTGTTGTTGTTGTTGTTGTTGCTGTTGTTGCTGCTGCTGATGCTGCTGCTGCTGCTGCTGCTGCTGCTGCTGCTGTTGTTGTTGTTGTTGTTGTTGTTGTTGTTGTTGCTGTTGTTGTTGTTGCTGTTGTCGAGTGATATTCTCTAGGTAATTATAAACTTGTTGTTATTCACGTATAGACCTAACCATTGATTTGGATCATCAGGTACGCTTCCTGAAAGTGTTAAATAAGAAGAACTCACGACTGCGCTACAATTGCCTTGTGGTTATTCACGCCAAAGAGGTCACCAACGAAGACGACCGCGCAAGTGCTGAGTTCTACCGCAAACTGCACTTATTCAAGACTCCTAAAGTTGCTATTGTCACAAACAAGGACTTTCTCGGAGTTGGAGCCAAGCATTTTAAAGCACACAAAGTAGACAAGCTGTCGAATCATATACCTGGACTCTCGCCTGTAGATGCTTCTACCACAGTCTCCCACAGCGAGCTGCTTGGATTTCACATTTCGTTTTCAATGGCCAGATGTCGTTAACGCCTTCAAAGGTCATTATTGGCTCCTTATGTGGTTTACTATTCTTATTATAGATACTGCACTCATTCGAGACGATGGTGTTATTGATAGTCGCGATACTAAGCTTGTTGTAGCGCAATGCGCTGGTATTTGCAACCAACGTTTCGTTTCCGCATGTATGTGAGTTTTCAACAATCTCTTCCCACTGCGATGTTGTGTAAAAAAGTTACTAGTCGGAACGCAAGCCTCGCGGCAAAACAAATTTACTAAAATAATCACTTCTCAATTTTCGAGGCTCAAAGCGCCGGAGTATGTGACGGTTTTACCCTCACAATTTTATACATGTCAGTGAGTTCAATTTCGTTGTCAAAATAATGCTAGTAAATGTCCCTTCTCGAACGAACTGTAATCACGCAACAACAGTAGTTTGCATTTGTGTACAGTCTGCACCGTGAGCTTAGCGAGCAAGGGTCGTCAAAGGAGTTGTCTGCTATGTGATGATATCATCAGTTCTTCAACAGCCCCCTGAATCAGGGGCCCTGATAGTGCGATTAGCACAAAGTGAATCTTTCTGAACGTAGATAACCCCTACAGAAGTCTTCCGATATTCCACTTGCACGACTCTGCGCTATTCCAACATCGTATACATATTAGTATTCATTTCACTCCGTTTTGACCCTCTGTGGTAACGTGGCTGTGATATTTTCGCATTACCACCAGAGTGCCGCAACTGCGGTAATGTCCGCGACTTGCGAACTAACATCATTACTATCCTCTATAAATCAAGTCCTTTGCAACCATCTTGAACTCCTCTCAAAAAATCGATAGTTCACCACTACTGACAACACAACTCCCGCAAATGGTCGGAAAAGGTCGTTGCCCATTTTCACTGATCAATGCATGATATCGAATTATGATGGAAGTTACTCTCTCAATCGGTGCTCGGGTACTACAAACGAAAAACTCGACTGCCTACCTTACCTCGCCGAACTCTACCTTCACCATTCTCCTTTCCTTGCAGTCCTACCGGTGTGTCGCTGCCCAGACGCCCGGTCCTTTGCCCACCAAGGAGGTTACTACTG